ATGTTAATAGCTGCCCTCAGGTTAGCCCAGAAAAGGCCATGCTTGCTCCTCTCCTTCGGCCACTCCAGGTAGGTGCGTTTTGCCATGAGAGCCTTCAGCTTGTGATACCTGGCAGGGATAACGTAGGGAGGGATCGGCTCCAGTAAAATCAGGATTAAGCTGTTGGAATTCTCACTGAATAACTTGTGATGGGCAAAGTACAGCTCATAGTGACACCACTCGCTCTGCACAAAGTTGGGAGACAACACAAAGATCGACTTGTAGCTCTTCTCAATGCAGTTAATGATGTTCTCCACAATGCTCTTGCCGGGGACAAAGTTTCTCTCGTGCTGGCACAGTTGCATGCAGCCCTCCCCCTTCTCCAGGTTTGGGATCAGCTCGTTCTTCACCCACAACGCATCGTGCTCGCTGTAGGAAATGAACGCGTGGAACTGCAGAACCGTCTCCTGCTCTTTGGGGTGGTTGTGCCAAGCTCTCCGCTTCGTCTGTGTCCACTGCCACGTCATCCGCACGTACCAGGGCACATCCAGGTAGATGCACAGGAAGGACACCACAGCCACCAGCACCAGCGTCAGCAGCAGGGCTGTCACCAGCAGCAGCGCTGTATTGCAGGCCAGTTCACTCAGGTGGAAGTCCTTCAGCTCCGTGCCTCGCAAGCCTTCCGGGTACTCGCACACGTACGCTGATGGCCAGCCAAACAGCTTCCCCCCTGACTGCCTCTCCACACGGATAAAGTCTTGCAGTTCACAGGAACACTTGAATGGGTTGTGCCCAGCTTGGAGCTCCTTGACCCTTGGGCAGCTCTGGAAGAAGTCAGTAGATGGGGTGAGGATCGAGTTCATCTCTATGTTCAGGAACTGCAGGGATGTGAAGCCACTGCACCCCGGCAGGTCAGCCAGCCTGTTCAATGCCAGGTTCAGCTCTTCCAAGGATTTTAGATCAGCCAGCCCCTTTGGGACACTGCTGATCTGATTGTTTTGTAGGTCGAGTTTTTTGATGTTGACTGGTAAGCATTCAAAGACAAAATCTGCCAACTGATTGGAGGACAGGTCCAACTCTGTCAGAGATGCAGCCCACTGGCATTGTRCATCAGCTCCATCGTGGCGCAGCAAGTTGTTGCTCATGTCCAGATATTTCAGTGATTTCATA